CTGTAAGCTCCTTCCTTCTTCCTACTTCAAGTAAATAAGCCTTTTGCCCCTTTTCTTTTTTATCAGTGACATTAAAAAGTTGGTTTTCTTTAATTTTGAAGAGGAAAAGGGGAGGAAAAAAAAACACTGCCTTTATAGTATAGCCGCGCGGCTATACTATGTCAATATACTCGTATAGCCGTTAGGCTATACTATTCCAATATATTGGAATATTAAATATTATGGCCTGGCGGCTATACTGTTTCAATAAATATTATAGCCGCGCGGCTATACTATTTAAATATTTAAAAAAAAAAGAGGCCTCCTAGCGCCTGGGCCGATTTTACTACACAATCCGATATGTGGACTGCATGGCCTAGGACCCAGGCACAAACCCAAACCCAATTAGTCTCCCCAACCCAAAAACAAATGCTTATTTATATATCTATATATAAATACCAGAAAATGTCATTGGTTAATGCAAACATTAAGAATTGAAATTATTAATTAAATGAGGATAATATGATAAATTCACACTTTTTCATATTTAAAAAAATTAAAATTTTAAAAAAAATTCAGATAATGGATCATATTTTTATAGAACACAACTATCCATTATCTTTTTTAATTCTTAAAATAAAATAAAAATAAAAAAGAAAACCAATTGGCACATGCATTAGCATGTGCCAAGGGGCTAGTGTGTGTATATATGTATATATAAGCGATAATCTCTTTTGACCCAAAAAAAAAAAAAACACTAACAATAATCTAAACTACTCTAAATAAATACAATCTACAAGGAGTGGGATTTGAACTTTGGTTCGAACGAACGGACTTAAAGAGTTTAGGATAATCTACGAGGAGGAGAATTTGAAGTTTAGTTCAAAGGAATGGACTTATCGTCATAGGTAATTGACCTAACTCATGTCTGGAAAAAAAAACAATACTCCCGTTAGGTCAACAATTACTGACTCCAATGTTGATTCCATCTTATCCTTTGAACTCCAAACTATGTTAGTTCTTTGATTTTTAATGGGTTATGTCTAATTATATATCAGTTTCATGTTCAAGGAAGGGACAAAGTACCCTTTTAGAAGAACAGTAAGCATGAGATGAAACCTTGTAGGGGCATAAAGTAAAAGAGATCAACTTTACCTTGTGCTGCAGATTAAGAACCCTACTTCAGACCAAAATATCCAACCACTCTTAACAAGAACTGAATGCTTCAAATATCTCTCACCCATGAAAGTGCCATCATAGTAAAAACGATCCATATTATAAAAAAAAAAAAAGCCTTTTCATTGATAGGCCAATTTTAGCGTGTTATATTATATAGTCTATTTGGAGGGAAAAATTCAAAACTAGTTGATTATTATTTTCTAATTTGTTCTTGGTGCGTTAAATTTTTTCTAAAATCAATGATTCGAATTCGGGTGCAGAATGGGGACCATATCCACTCTAGCCAATTTGGCTAAAACTATGTCTGCATCATATTTTATTTTTTAATTTGAATAAAAGTTTTCCATTTCCTCAGTAAAATATCAGTTTTACACGGGTGTGTCATTGAACTCCACTCTTTCTGGCCCATGCTAAGAACAAAACGGGATGGGCTTATTTGGAAGATTCAAATTGGGCCAAGATTTAAACAAAGTTTTCGAAACACATGGAAATCCGAAACCCTATCGGTTCTTTAATCCCAATAAGGAGAAGGTTTTCAATGGGGTGTCCAAAATCACTTATTGGGTGTCCCTGGAATCATGTAAACTTGACCCGGTTTGGAGTTCCAATTCATTTTAATTATTAAAAAAGGTGCTGAGTTGTCCCTGTCCTATTTAGTTCACCTCTCAATTTCAAACGCAACCACAAAATTTTGTTGTTACCCAACCAACCCTGTTCAAATCAGTATAGCATGCGTATCCATCTCATTATGTGGGGTTCTACCTAAGACTATAGTTGTATCTTTTATTTGATGTGGAAGGGCTGGAGTTGCGAATTTGAAGCTTGGACTATGCATATCAAACAATCTTGTGGTCCTCTAACCCAATCTACAAAGTGGCAAACACCAAAACGTCGCACTTTTGTGTTAAAGATAATGTTGGACCGATGAAAACCTTAAATTCGAATCGACTAAAAAATATTAGAGATAGTCGCTCACCCATGCATAAATGATTTTCCGCTTATACAAGCGAATTGTTTTTCGAGTCAAACAACCATACCTAGAAATTAAGAAAATAATTCGACCTCAAACATGATGCCAAAAGACCCTTTTTTTTTTCTTTTATCTTTATTATATTCTCTCTCTTTGAAAGGCAAGGGCCAACGCATGATAGTCCTCTTCCTTGCATGTGGAACTATGATATGCTGAAATTAAAGCACCTTGTCTAAATAAGGCATGATGCTATAATGCCATTGAAATTAATTTGAGTCCTCATCACATGCCATGATGATCCTGGAACATGCACACCCACAGTGGAATTAAAGTATTTTCTTCAATTCTAAGCTACCCATCTATCCAAAATCAAAATCATACAACAAAGTTCATTGATATTTTCTCTACAGCTCATAATTTCTTATCTTTAATTGTTATTTTTCGTTTCTCAACTTTCTCACATGACGCGAATCTTATATCGTAGGTCTCGCTCAATGTAAAATAATTGAATTACAACTTTCTAATTTGTGGTGTCATTAAGGATTGAATGATTTTCATCTCTATCCTTATTAATGCACGGAAATGCTAATGATTATAAGATTGTATCACATGTGAGTATGGCCAAATCTAGATATATATACATGGAAGATGCATAGATAACATCACGTGGCAAACAAAATGCAGTACCCAACTAAAAGAATGTATTTTTTCTTGGCAGTATGTGCCTTATTCTCTGAATGGTTATAATAATGCATAAATTTTATAGTCAATTGCTCCTTCTACACTAAAACGCCATGTTTTGAGCTTTCAACTTCATGTTATGTGTCGCGCTACATACAACCAAATTGCACATGGCCTGCAAATAGAATTCACTCAATTCTGCTAAGACCAAGTCCTAATGTACCGCATGAGATATAAGTAATTAAGAAAGAAGGAGATTTGAACACGGTACCTTACCTTATCAAATATCATCGTATACATCGCCAAAATCCCGAAATTAAGTATCTACTAATTCATCCCAAAATCCCTTTTACAATGGTGGGTGTTGTATACATTTGAACCACAAATATTTCACAATTTCATATATTTATAAGGCAATAATAAATATTTCAGTCCTGTTGTTCATCTAACTTTGAATGGCCATGTGGTCAAACCTTACAGGGCCAAGCTGCCAAATCTCCAACCAATTGCAAGTTAGTTAATTTCACCAAAATTGCCCATTATCCTATTTTTCATCATCAATTTTCCTTTTTCTTTGCCGACAATCATCGCCCCTTCAGCCAGTGATTTGCTTCATTTCCTTCTAATAACAAAACCTTTTAAGCTTTGGTTAAATGTAAACAGGTAGGTAGGTAAAGGGGAGGTCGAGAGCTGACTGAGACCCACAAATTTTGAGTAGGGTTCTAGTTCTAGATCACACAATTTTTGGCCCACCCATCCATTTTAATTAACAAATTGCATGTTTTCTGATTTGATTTGCCGGTCCACTAATTGTTTTCCAATTAGCTCAACCTTGTACTAAAAAGATAAATATCCCCAACCCCCACTTCTAAAAAGAGTTGGTTCAACCTCTTATTCGTTAGGTGAACAAATAAAGCCTTAACCAATATTTTGGTTCATTAATTAGCTTTTTTAATATGAATTGGTAAACTAAAACTTTCACAATATTAATCCGTAACACAAGCAAGATCGACTTGCTCAGAGTAATTACTTCTACATATGATATTTTGTGTTCGAATCACCGCTCTCGAATATCGCTTATATACAAAGAAAAAGGGACCACATCACAATCGCATTATCAAACACCACACACAAGTAGTTTAATCATTTTGAGCAGTAAAAATATGAGAACAAGCCGCTTGAGCTTGATTGTAGGCACAGTGACTTTGGCTTAATTAACCCCCGCAACTGTCACGTGACACCTTAATGTTAGGCCCCAAGTTCACCAAGCATTGACTGCCGTGTTATAATTGTTCACGTGCTCCTGTGTCCCCTAATTTACTAAAATTTACTTCCTTTCGTTTCTCCTGAGGACCACCGTGGTCCTGCTTCCACCTGAGCACGCTCCCTCCTTTTTTAAAAGTTTCTGAGTTTGGACCAATCAAGTCCTACCACAGTGTTGAGCTCACATGAAAGCGTCCCCATCTGATCACCAACTTTTTAGTTTTCAGTTACCATACAATCTTCAACTTTTCAGTTTTTTCAAGTTTAAGGCATGATTTGTAATTCCAGCAAAGGTTTTGATGACTAAACCATCCCTGAGTGAAGTAAACAATTAGGAAGCTTCGCCTTAAGCCAGTCATTATCACTCTCTTTACTCGGAGATTCTCTAATAAGTATTTTATGTTAATGATTGATTACATGTTTCTAATACTGGGCATTGGATTGTATTCATTAAATGTATTGGTAGTCTTTTAGATGCAATCCAACAATCGAGATTAGGAGCATGTAACCAATCCTTAACTTAAATACTTATTGGAGAATCTCCCATCTTTTACTTATCTGAATGAGTATAAATAGAAGCTCCAATACTTGCTTATATTTTGTGTTTAAATGTGTTTGTGTTTAAATGTGTTTTGAGTTCAAATATATGATTAAATATTCTCGAAATCAACTAGTTTCCCAATTTATAATTCAATTTCAACTTATTTTTATGTTAAAATCCATAATCAGATACCCTCAAATCAAATTAGGAATGAGATCAACTAGTTTCCCGATCCACGGCTAAGTAAACATGCCATTTCACCTACCGTTACCGACTCCATCTCTAATCAAGACGACGCCGTTTAGCATTACTTAGCTAAACATCCGTGTTGCGACTCTCTTGCCCTTCTCTCTTTT